CTGTGGGATGACTGCGGCCTTCCAAATCCTAGATGTGGCTGCACAAAGCTGAGACAACTATTTGCAGACTCTCTTTCTTTTTCTTTCTCTCTCTCTCTCTCTCTCTCTCTCTCTCTCTCTCTCTCTCTCTCTCTCTTTTCTTTCTTTCTTCCTTTTACGCAAGTCTCTCAAATGTATCTTTAAGCCAAGGATATAGCTCAGTGGCATAAGCGCTTGCCTGGCAAGCCTGAGGTCATGAGTTTGATTCTTGGTATAAAAAAAAAAAACTTTCAGCAAATCTATCCTGACTGCTGGGGCCACAAGAACAGAGCATTTTCTAAATAGCTTGGTCCCCAGGAAAAATAAACAATAACAAAACCCTTTATTATATAAAAATACAACTAGTTGGCCCTTTTCTCAATTTTTTCAACACTTATCATTTCACCTTTATTGGGTGTGGAGTTTTGGTCAAGACATAAAACAGAATATAGTCTTAATGTCTCTTCTGCAATCAAAAGAAAAATACTTTTCATTGGATTCGAGCTTATAGCCTTAAACATCAGGGTCACATTTTAAAAATATTTTCTCTTTTGACAGGAATTTTCTAATCCTACTTCTTGTTTCCATAAATTTCTCTAACAGTTAAGATAATATTCACAGAAGTTCCCTAGAGAGACACATGTTGAAAAGTGAGATGATTGAAATCTTTTTTTCCCCTCAGTACTGGGGATAGAACCTAGGGCTTTTCCACTGAACTATGACCTCAGCTCTATTTATTTTTTCAGACAAGGTCTGACTAAGTCACCAAGATGCCCAGACTGGGTTCAAACACACAATCTTCCTGCCTCAGCCTCCCACTGAGTGCTGGGATTTCAGATATACACCAACACACCCAGCTGAAATCTCCCCATTTTTGCTCAACAGCTCACCTAAGTAAATTGTAACTATCATTTATTGAGGGCTCTACTATGTGCCCAGCCCTAATCATGTACTGTTTGGAGGTGAAGGGTGTGGAGTAGCTGAGGCTGCCAGGGTCCAGACCCTGACTTAGGACGCTCCAGCCTCCAGTTCCCCTCTCCTTCAGCTATCACAATTTATTAATGATTTCAAGTGCAAGGTGACTTTCAAGAGGGTCTATATGAGAATGGAGAGTGACTATGCCACAATGGAAATATTCACACAGTTATATAGCCGTTTGCCTTCTCTATCCCTGGCTCCCTTCCATAAATGTGAACAGCTTACTGAACAACAAGATGGATGGTCTCACCATTACCTCTGTGGCACCCTAACCTTTCCAGAATTTCTTTACAAGGATGAGTGGTTAATCTGTACACACCGGACTGTTCTCTGTCCATAGAACAGTCCCCACAGACCACAGTACAAGCTCACTATATAGCAGTCAGGGAACCTGTAGTCCCAGCACTCGGGAGGCTGAGGCAGGAGGATCGTCTCGAGTTTGAGACCAGCCTGAGCTACAAAGTGAGCTCAAGTCCAGCCTGAACTGCATAGCGAGACCCTGCCTCAAAAAGACAAAAGAAAAAAAGAAATTAGCAGTGAGGGA